CAAATGATTGAATGTACCTTTTGCTAGGGAACAAGCACTTTTCTGATCACCCCCAGACGACCGTGTTATTTCTTTTATATTTAGAAAAACAACATATTCGTTATTGAGATAGTACAACTCGCTGTTAAGCAGTCCTTGATTATTTTAATTTAGTTTTTCATACCTCACTTAAACTTGCTTAAAAACTTTGCCGGATGATAAGCAGTATGACCAAAACACAAGTGGGCAAAAAAGACAGGATAAACATAATTAAAATTATTAAAAGTACATAATGGTTTCAAATAAAACAATTTTTGTTGTGCCTAAATTAAATAATTTATAATGTTGTACTAGGTTGAAACAGCGCTTTTCGAATAACTCGTAATTTCCGTGGGAATAATTTCTATTCTTAGTATTTTTTATTTTCTACTCGTTGGTGTTTTCGGTATTTCCGTGTACAGCACATCAAACAGCTGATTACGGTTTGTTTATTTGTTTTTCTTCAGAAGCGGAGCCTGTTGAACTTATTCATTAAATTTAACCAATCTCAGAAAGTTAAATGAATGTGTTTACTATTTTAGTAACCATAAGCGTAATCTGGGGCCTTGACGCCTTTAAAACGTCCATCATTCCCAATGAGTTTATTGTTCATTTCCATTCCAAATACTTTGCTCCGGTCCGAGAATCCTTTATTAAAGCGAAACTCTTTGGTTCAAACGTAAGTGAGATACAAAACAGTTGTAAACATATTTATCTTAATTGATTACTATCTTTAATATATAAAATATAACTAATAGGATTGAATTTAATATATGTTGCAGTATCTCAAAGATACATTTGTGCAAGGAAAGAAACGTTTGAATCCGAAGAATACTTAAATTAAATTACTCACCGAATTACTTTATTTGTATCTTTCTATTCTAGATAACAAACTGGAAAATTATTCCTCGTGAAAATTTAGCTTGGCAATATCCCAGCGATTTCGATGTCTTGAAAGTCCTAACCGATGATGAAAAATCTGCTAAGTTAATTATAGAAAGGATTCAATCTCACCCGTCAGTCAAGGCGGTAGTCCCACAGCGAAGTGTTCGACGGATCCTGAACTACAACCCGTATGGAAATTTTACAAGTATAAGCCGCCATCCCCAAGGAGTTTTGCGGAATAGGAACGCGAACAATGATCGGCATCGACAAGTTTGCTCGGCACTGCACGCCAACGTCCTTTGGAAACTTGGAATTACCGGCAAAGGGGTCAAGGTGGCTATATTCGATACTGGGTTAACTAAGAACCATCCGCACTTTCGAAATGTAAAGGAACGTACAAACTGGACAAATGAAAAGTCTCTTGACGACAAAGTTAGTCATGGCACCTTCGTCGCCGGGGTAATCGCCTCCTCGAGGGAATGTCTAGGCTTCGCTCCTGACGCTGATCTATACATATTTAAAGTCTTCACGAACTCTCAGGTCAGTAAAATGTAGATCATTAACAGAATGAGCTAACGTTAATCCTACCTTAGGTTTCCTACACATCCTGGTTTCTAGATGCCTTCAACTACGCCATATACCGGAAAATAAACATACTTAATCTCAGCATAGGAGGACCTGACTTTATGGACTCGCCGTTCGTTGAAAAGGTCTTGGAACTGTCTGCCAATAATGTGATAATGATATCGGCAGCTGGAAACGATGGACCCCTATATGGCACTCTTAATAATCCCGGCGACCAAAGCGATGTTATTGGCGTGGGTGGCATTCAGTTCGATGATAAAATCGCGAAGTTCAGTTCCAGAGGAATGACCACGTGGGAACTTCCTTCGGGCTACGGAAGATTGGGACTCGATATAGTCACTTACGGAAGTCAAGTGGAAGGCAGTGATGTGCGCAAGGGCTGCAGACGCCTCTCGGGAACATCAGTTTCTTCTCCAGTTGTTGCAGGAGTAGCTGCTCTGCTAATTAGCGGTGCATTTAAAAGAATCGATTTGATAAATCCAGCTTCTTTGAAGCAGGTCCTTATTGAAGGTGCCGAGAAGCTTCCGCAATATAACATGTTTGAGCAGGGAGCTGGAAAACTGAATCTGTTGAAAAGTATGCAGCTGCTGTTATCTTATAAACCGAAGATAACCCTTGTCCCATCATACCTCGATTTTACTTTAAACTATATGTGGCCTTATAGCTCTCAACCCTTATACTATGGAAGCTCCGTGGTTATTGCAAACGTGACCATACTCAATGGCATTTCGGTTACCAGTCAAATTCTTGGCACCCCCAAATGGATTCCTGATTACGAAAATCATGGGCAACTTCTTCAAATATCAACACAAGTCTCTCCCATATTTTGGCCGTGGACCGGATGGATGGCAGTTTTTATTGGTAAGTTAAGTATATATTTAAAAAAACCTATACCATAATAATAACATATCGACCCATTTAAAACACAAGAAAGGAGAACTTCATGTACAGTGCTCCGTAGGCGATCGATTCCTCGGTTTTCCTCGTTCATTGTTTCGATTTTAAATTCACCATGTTTGCTTAAAATTTAAAATTATACTATAATTTTTTACTAGGGTTTCCTTGCAAAATGCTAGTACAATCGACCAATTATTTTTTAAAAATTAATTTACAACTCTGATATTTAAAAAAAAACTTCACCCTCTATTTTATCTATACATATATGTAGATCCAATATGATAAAAAGATAAAGCGTAGTTTACTTTCCACTATTTTTCGACCTTTAACCGTTCTAAAATTTGTGTTCGCGGATCAAGTTAAAAAATTGTTTGTGATGTTTTTCACGATATTTGACTATATTTCGCTGTTTTATATTTAATATTTTGTATTTAAACTTTTTTAGTCAGTTTTAATCACATAATCTGCAAGGGTTAAAGACTTTGTTTGAACGAAGTTAGCTTCCGTTCGCGATCATTAATAAAATGTATATTCTGTTTTTTATTAGCTGTTAAAAAAGGTGGAGAATACTTTGAAGGGGTCTGTAAAGGTAGTGTGACATTAATTGTGGAAAGTTTTAAAGAGTCAAACAACGAAACTCATGTAACAGAAGTCGAATTTCCGCTAACAATTAAAGTAACACAAAAACCTCCGCGAAACAAAAGGATATTATGGGACCAGTACCATAGCTTGCGTTATCCGCCCCGCTACATACCACGAGATGATCTTAAAGTAAAATTGGATCCTTTGGACTGGAGGGCAGACCATATACACACAAACTTTAAGGACATGTATACACATTTACGAAATATTGGATATTATATTGATGTTTTGCGAGAACCCTTCACTTGTTTTAACGCTTCGGACTATGGCGCATTATTGATTGTCGACCCTGAAAAAGAGTTTGGCGGCGATGAAATAAACGCTCTAAAAGAAAATGTTTATAATAAAGGCCTGAATGTCGTTGTATTCGGTGATTGGTATAATACCACGGTGATGAAAAAAATCAAGTTCTTTGACGAAAACACACGACAATGGTGGACACCTGACACTGGCGGCGCTAATATTCCAGCCTTAAACGATTTGTTGAAACCATTTGGAATTGCTTTTGGAGATTTTGTCGGAGAGGGCCACTTCAAATTGGGCGACCATTCAATGTATTATGCTAGTGGTGCCCCAATTATCAAATTTCCAATGAACACAGGAGATATTTTAGTAGGAACGAAGCTTAATGATCAAGGACTTTCGGTATATTTACTTTACAATTATTTTATTCACGGGAAATATAGATTTTTATTTTCCAGATAATAAATTCTAAGACACCCACCAAAGAGGCTAAGGTAGATGTACCTATTTTTGGAATGTTTCAAACCAAGGCGAATAGTATTGAAAGCAATGAGGAAATCATAAGCAATGCAGAGAGTGAATTAGTTGAGGCTATACCCACAGATTTCTCAACATTTAAGAACAGAAACTTGCTACTACGAAAAAAGGAACAAAGTATAAGTTTGGGCCAAATCAAAACCTACCAAACCAACAGTGAAGGACGAATCGCAGTTTATGGGGACTCTAACTGTCTGGACTCGACGCATCTAGAGAAAGCTTGCTACTGGCTATTAATTACATTCTTAGATTTTGCGATAAACTCACACAAATCAAGCTTACTGCAGAATCTAAATCGAATAACGGAATTTCACAAACTAAAAAGAGCCCCTTTACCTCTTAGGATATCAAGTATCAATTTTAAATCACGTTCCCAAACGAATATTTGTGAACATTTTCACTTGCTAAACGCATCGAAAAGGGAACCTGTTAAACAGAGGAAATCTTCTATTTTAGACATAGTTACAAGGGAAAGTGAAGGTAAATATATATATAAAAAGTTTCCGTTGAACGGTTTTAAATTTGTCTTCTATTTTTTTTCAGAATATGAGATCAATTTGATTAACTTGTTGGATGCAGAGATAACTAAATTGTCCCAAAATAATGACTATTTCACAGGAAGCCAAGTAGCCGATAGTTTAAGAACTCCAATTATATTTATGATTAGTTTAAGCTTACTTGTTATAATATTATTTGTTTTATTCATAAAACGTCGATTTATTTTGTAAATAAATACTTTCTTCGGTAAAAAGTCTTACAACTGTTAGAGGAAATGATCCTTATAAAAATGGCAATGTTGTTAGCCATGCTGTCAAAGGGCAGAATCGCCATGGCATTACCTATTTTTAGATTTTTATTCTCAAATCATTAAGACCAAGAGGAACCAACATAAATAAAGCTAATGTATTATGTGTACCAACCCTACCATTTTGAATGTGAAGCTTTGTTAATGAATCGCTACTTCTTTAAAACACAAAGTTACATCTACTTACGCGTACACACATCCTTTTTTGAGTATGATTCTAAGAAAATCGGACCAGATTGTAGTTCAAAAATATTTTACGAGTTTAGTTTTAAAAACACATTTTATTCATTTGTATAATTTTAAAATCTTTAAATTGTAAGTTACTTAAAAAATTAAAAATGAGAGCATTTCAATCGTTTCTACATACAAATAAATGTATTTGTAAAGATTTTTGTTTGAATTAGTTGTAAAAAGCTTTGTGCTTTTGACAAAAAGTCGATGTATTTTTCTAAGTTAAATAAATTATACGTATTTAATATATTTGAATATTGTACATTCAAATTACAGTTATAGATATACAAAATGTCCAATAATTTACACTTAACTAAATAAATTAATTTACAGGAATTTTATTATTTTATCGACGTTGTACCTAATGTATGGAAAGTTAATCTTAAATTACGGCTTGCTTTAATCTGTGGCAATATACAACATAGCCTATCATTTTTTTTCGTTGTCAATTTTACTTTTATCCAACGATGACGAAACCATCCCGCCACCGTTTGAAGGATACAGCTTTTCCAAATAGTTTAATGATTCATTCAAAAATGTCTGCAATCAAAGAAATAGTAGTAGTTAATGGCTGGACTTCAAAGAACCAAAATATCGTGTCGTACCTGGAAAGCATGCAGAACAGCCATAATTGCGGGCGATCCGAATCCGTGCGTTATTAAAGAGAAATGTGTTAAGTGGCGTTGCATCGACGGTTCCAACAAGTGCTGTGATCTCGTGCCGAAGTGAGTCGTTCGATCTTGGCTTAAGATCTGCATAAGCTCTTTTGTAATCTGTAAATTTAAAATTTATTATATGATTATTATAAATAAATATTTATATCGCTGCGAAGACATAATTTGACTTTGATAAATACTATTTAAATGTATATTGCGGACAGATAGGGTGGGGCTAGGGTGGAACGTTCGCTTGCGCTAGGCGTAAAGCAAAGTGAACTGCTGGCGTAAGCCTTGACTCTCATCCCGAACTGACCGAAATTCTAGTGGGATCGTCCAGAACAGAGCAAGGGACAGGCGGTCGTTGTATGGAAAGGCGTTGCTCTGGATATCGCGGCACCTGTTCACCATAGTCTGAGAACGATGAAGCTTCCCTAAGCCCGCACGGAATCAGCGAGGCGAGCGATCATCGAGTCAACTCATCGACGAGCAAGGACGGACAGCTACAAAAGCCAACGCGTGGCGATATCGAGCCCAACCGAACCACCCAATCCGCCGTAATAAGGCGACTTACTGGAATCCCTTGAATTCTGTGCTTTCTCACAGATCTATTGTGTCGCACAAATCTCGTAGCATGCAGACCAACAAAAACAGTTCGTTGCACGTTTCTAAATCTTGTTCTTATAAACCAAATCAAGACCCTTGGTAAATACTTATAGTTTCTTAGAATCTTATCCTTCTTTCCTATCTAGTAAGCTAAAACTCGGTTTAGGAGGCGATCTCTCAATGTAATGTTTATACCAGTTACTCGTAAAAAAAGGGTATACTAGATTCGTCAGAAAGTATGCAACAGTTAGGTGTAAGAGTTTCCGACCTCATAAAGTATATATATTCTTTATGAGGATCACTAGCGAGTCGATCTAGCCATGGGCGCCTGTCCGTCTGTCTGTCCGTCCGTAAGAACGCTGAGATCTATAAAACTACAAAAGCTAGAATGTTGGGATTTGGCATGTAGATTCCTGAGCTTCTTGCGCAGTGCTAGTTTAATTCGTCAGGGTGCCACGTCCACCACAAGCCGCCCAAAACTGTGACTCCTGCAGTTTTAATGCTAGAATAAAATAAAATTTTTGTTCTCATCAACCACGCCCACTGTACGTCCACAAGCGGCTTACAATCTTTAAAAAATCGTAAGTATGAACGCGGCTATCTCGGAAACTATCAAGGATAGAGAATTGTGAGTTTGTTTCGCGTACATGCCACGCCCACAAACCGCCCAAACCTAATGCGCCCACAATTTTCATGCTAGAAAAATTTTTTTTTGCTGAAATGTATTAGTCTCTCCTATCGTTTGACCAAAAAAAAAGTTTGGCACATCCACTCTAACGCCCATAACGCTGAAATCTGTCTGCCGCCCACATAACCATATATGGTGCTGCTTCCATATCACCATCTCCCTTTTGTCCATTAGGCTGAGTAACGGGTATCTGATAGTCAAGGTACTTGACTATAGCGTTCTTTATTGATTTCTCTTGTCATTGAGTAAAATTTTGAGTATGAAAATTTATCGGACTGAAAGCCCATAACTGGTACTAATATTTCAGGACAATTTTTATAACGAGAAAACAGAACTGCCGACAAAGTGTTTACCTAATCCTATGAATTTTTCGGATGTGTAAGTCCGAGTTTGTATGAATTTTTGTGCGAAGAACTAACATTACATTGAGAAAAATATTTTGTTTTTTGAGCAATTTGACCTTCGGTTTGGTTCAGGCTTGAATGGAGTATCCATTTTCTTAAGACCTTACCTGCTGGGAGTGAAGAATGAGCTCTTTCCGTCGGTACGAATCCTGCGGCTCCGTTTGGTGGCGCACTATGTACTCGGCCAGCTGCCTGGCGGGGAATTCGGTTTCGCACACGAAATGAAAGTCCTTGGCCAGGTGCGTTGCCTCCCCCTCGACCAAGGATGTCAGGAGCGTCACGTTGGCCGCTTTTCGCCTGCCGGCCGGCAAGTTTAGGCCGATCTTCTCCAGCTTCTCCCGCAGCAGGCGACCGCCGTTCTTGCTCTTGGCCCTGAAAAGAATAGGGGTTTAAACTAAGGCCCCAAAAAGAGGAGGATCCTGTCGGAACTCACCTTCGGAGCACTCCGCCCAGTAGGGAGGCGTTTAAGCACTCTGGGGGCGACAGGCGTCGCTGCACTTCGGCTATGGTGACCTTGTATTTCGAGGTGCTCGATAGGAGGCTGAGGCGACCAGGGACTGCACAGAATACCTCGCTGGGCGAACCCGATCCAATGTTCCCGGCTTCCTTTCCGCTTTTCATGCCTGCAAGTAAACGCAACACCAAGTTCAGACTCCATGAGTATGTACACCATATTGTTCACAGCGAGCAAAATATATTATTATTGCTATTGTTGTTATTGTTCTGACAGAGCAAAGTGTGAACGCAGGACGTGGGGATCATTTTACCCGAATCCTGCCAATTAGAAGGGCAAGATTCAGTTTCACAATGCACACAAACTCACAGTTTTGGAGGGTAGGTCCTTGCATTGTTTTCTAGGCGTGTTCGAGGTTCCGCCTCACACGCAACATGGAGTGGAACTTAACTTGCAAGTATGATTATGAATAATAGGTACACCTTCAGAAATGCCACCAAATGTCTGCGTTAGTCAGCTATCAATATCTTTAAGTCTACGGTTAGACGATTTCCTTAACAAAGTTATCTAGAATTGCGCTAAATGTACCTATTTTTATTTCCTATATGAAGGTATATATGTTCTATTGAAAGCCAGAACTAACTGAGATAATTATATTCAAATTTATTGATGGACAGAACTTAGCTAAACTTTGCAATCAAAATTGTTGGTGTCATTCATTGTCTTCAACACAAAAGCTTAAAACCAACGAACTTATTACTTTTTCGATCATCTAAAATATGAACATATGCTTTAAAAGCTACAATTGTATTCTGTTTATTATTATTACCCTCCCCATTATTTCTGTTTATTTCCCATTTAAAGCAAACGCTGACCAAAGGGTGGTTTTTCATGTGCAGAATTTTGATAAAGTTCATTAATCGCTCCATCGCAGCCATATTTTTCTTAAAGTTAGTTTCGTTCTGCCGTTAGTTTTGATATTTTAGGGTTATCCTTACTTTAAAACATGAGCTGGTACGTATTTTATGAACTTACTCTTTATAAGCGGCAAGTCCGACATAAACGCCACATTGTCGTCGAGGGCAGGAGCTTGGACATCATCGACCGCGTTTTGAAGGGCTTGGTGCAACGCCAGGGACTCGTGCTCATGGCCAAGTCTGGTTCCGTGGGCAGCTCCCGCCGATATTGCACTACCGTAATCACTTCTCCGATCCGTGTACGGGAATCCATGTGACAGTTGGGTCTGCAAATGTTTTCAAGATTAATTAAGAGGTAAATAAAAATAATGACGAATGGGCGTTTTGGCATGGGTTGACAAACAAATATGATATCTTGTGCACAATTTGAATAGGAAACGTTTTTAAAATCTGTATTATTTTCGAAACAACATGACTGTTTCCGTTTGTATATTTCGATTTTGCTAAAGACATTTCGTTACTTAATCAAGGTTAGATTACCGGCTCCTTGAACTAATTCTACTTTCTAATTATGTTGGATATATCTGATAATCAAAATTGGAAATGGCATTGCATTGCATTCTGTTGCTTCTTTTATTTATTTATTAAGTTTTGATCGAAACAAGCGGTTTAAAAGACCAGTATCTTATTTTGTAGGCTTACACAACGCGTGAAACGTTAATAAGCTATAATTTCGAACCACGCAACTCAATCGAAAACTTATTTCTTGCAGCTCAGTGTTATTTCAGCGGGCATGGTAAAAACGATGCCAATAGTTGCGAGATTATTAATACATCGGCGCTTCGGTTTCGCCAAGGGGTTGAAGTCGCCGCATAGCCAATCCGAGGTCCTTGCCGCTAATGTATGCAGACCGGCTGGAAGCCGCACACACACTCTCGCAGGAGCTTGTGTGCGCCGCGTCTGTGTGAGAGTCCTTTGGGCGGACAGATGCGCACAGAGCCTGCGAGGATACGCCTTTTCGGGGCATCCGGGCTGCGTTTCACTGCACCACTTGCCATGGAACGAAAACGAGTGGGGAAACAGACCTCTCGGCGGGCTAAGGCTGAGCTAGGAATTTCATCGTTGTTCGCAAGACTTTCTTGCGAAGTCCCAAGAACATTTTTTACATTTTTCGGAGGATGTTTTTTTAATGCACTCGAATGGAATCCGTTCAAAAATAACTTCGACAACTTTCCCAGAATGGGGAAGTTTTCACCCCCCAAACGTTTCGTGGCCTTCGAAGCCAAGAATTTAGCAAAATATGCAAGAATAATGTGGAACAAGACGCAAATTCTTAAACGGATGAAAAGATTGAGTCCTGGGCTGAATTGCCTTCTCGTTAGTGCTCTTAGTAATTTGCCGTCAATCGCTTAACTTTAACGAAATTACTATATTTATCTAGTTCTTTACAGTCAAAGTGTGTAATAACCCTATAATATAAATGGAAGTTAGGAGGATGTGGGGTATTAAATTTAATAAATGGCATTTATATGCCCTTTTTGCGATAAAACCATCACGGCTCATAGAGATTAAGGTAGGTGCAATATTAAAAAACACCGGGGTACAGCCGATTTAGTTTCTAAATAACGGTGGGTTTAAGTATGTAAGACGATTTAAAATTGTATTTCTTTATCATGGCTAGCCTTATCCGACTTAGGATCAGGAATACATATTCAAAATTGATAAGGCGTCCATTACGTTGGCACAATTTTCAAATCAAGTTATTGAAAAAATTAAAATGATCTACTTACAACATGTCCCTGCAGCTCAGCCTCTCTGTGGGTCCTGTGGATCCCCAGTTGGTCCTGCGTCGACCGCAGACCCGCCAGCTGGTTGTAGTGGTGCAGTGGGGCATGGTGCAGCGAGGAGAGGGGCTGGCCGTACGGGTCCGTGCCCAAGTACTCGAGGGCCCCGTGGTTCTGCAAGTAGCCGGATATCTAGATAACGCTTGGGGTAATCAGGGGCGGCCCTCGGAGTGGAAAGCTTACCTGTTGCTGGGGGGGACTCTGGGTGGAGTGGTGGAAGGGGGGCGGAAAGTACGGCGGCTGGAAGTCGGACTGCAGCGATTGGTGGTGCATGGTGGCCGCCGAGCCATGGGTGCTACTGTGCCCACTGTGTCCCGTGGCCGGTCCGCTGCGCCCCGTGTGTCCGCCGGAATGCGTTGTGTACGCCGCACTGCCGCTGGACAGCCCTAGACTCCCATGACCACTGAGGCGTTCCTGCGGAAGACACACAAGTGTAAGTTGCTGCGCTTTGGAACACGTTTCAGGATATACATATACTTATAGGTTATCAATATAAGTTGTAAGTAAAGTTATCAAATGTAAGTAACCATACAAATGTTGGAAGTGAAATACCCGGCGGTAAACAGAGGTTCTGGGTTCTTCTCTCTTGCATATAAATATATAATATGAGCTTCACATTTAAAGCATTCCTTTATTGTACTTTTTATATAGTTTAGGTCACGTTAAATTCACGTCCTCTCATAAAATTAGAATTGCGGGGTATCAAGTAATTGAACGACATAACTAATTTTTGTCATTATGTAACCAGCATTCTATATTTAATTGCCTGAACTGCAATCCCAATTTTGTTTATAAAATATCAAAATTATTCTGAAATATTAATCTGAACAACATTCAAATTTGTTCTTAGCACAGGATGTGTCAAATTCGGCTCCAATGGTTACGCACATAAATACAAATTCCAATCGCATTCGGTTACAAGAAATAACTTGATACGTCAAAAAATGTAAATGTCTATAATAAACACTAGTTGTCAATGTGGCAATAAGACTTTTTATCACCATTGGTTTCACGTATTCAGCTGCGATGTGATTAAACGTCTCCATTTAATCAAGATTTCTGAATTGAACACTTAAAGATCTCTTAAAAGTTTTTCAAGAGCGGTGTTTTTTACTTTCTATACTTAATCAGTCACAGAAGATTACTCGAGCTTTAAGTGGGAGAAATCATGAAATGCTTTTAATTTCGGTTAAGTTCCACAAGATATTTAAAACAACGATGCCTAATGAATGCCGATTAAAACAACCTAAGCACTTTAGAAAAAACCACCAACGTTCTTTAAAACACACATTCTTCAGAGGTCAAATGGGTTTTTAGCGCCCGGTAACTCGACACACTGTCAATCATTTCTTAAATGTAGTCCCAGCGCGCTCTCAAGTTCAAATATACCTGAACCTGAATTACAGCTGGCATATCCACATACGCTAAAGTCATGTTATCATATTAAATCCGCAGAAACTTTATGCACACATATTGATTGGGGCCTTCCGATTCGGGGTGGATTATCGACAAGTTCCGGAACTATGCCTATATCACAACGGATTCCACTCGCACGTGATGTAAGTCGAGTGGGTATATTTAGAGGACCGATACGCGCTTTTTCCGGACCGACGGCAGCATCAGCAGTCTACGAGCTACGAACGCGAAATGAGAACTAGTCTCTCGTCAGTGTGCCAAAAAGGCGAAAAGGTTTTTTCAGCCAGCGACGCCGGCTTCGCTTCGCAGTCGCTACCGTTAGAGGTCGGTCGGTCGGGGAAGGAGCTATGGATATGGATATTATATGTAGCGCCGCTCTGGAGCTCTCACTGTGATTACCAGCGATTTGAAATCTTGTGGGGAGCACATTTAAATCTGGGGAGCATAAAGGACTCGCATAATGAGGTCGGAAGCTCGGCTTAGTGAATGATATCACACAAGCCATTTGACATCCTGCCCAGTCGCGCGGCCTTTGAATTCCCAGGACTCACAGGATGCAGTGTCAATAGAAGATGCACGCGATAAGGCCGATCCGGTGGGGTTACACACATTAGGTGTCCATAACTGCGGTTATTGATTCCTTAAATTTGCACAACTGCCGGCCCAGCAGAGCCGTTCGATTAGGCCGAATGCATCGCATTAGGCCTGCTCCCATTTACCTGCTCCTTACTTCAGCATTGTCCGGGGATTGCGGAAAAAGAATGACAGTAATTTGACACAAAACGTTGAGGTTTTCAGAAATCGAACATGTTTATTCGATTGTGTAAGTGTGTGCCTGGAGTGCGGCGAGGTCTTCAGCGAGGTTCGGCCTTCATTGTGGTCCAAATAAGGAACTCCTCTCCTCCAAGTGGACCAAACAAGGCGGTCTATGAATGCCCATGCTCATACGCTCTATTTCTCCTCGTTCGCATCGCTTTAATCAACTAATTCATATTGCTTACACATTCAAATGGCGGCTCAGTAATTTATCTCTGAGCAGTATTTATTAGTGGACGACGTCGAGTTATAGGTGATTCATTAGAAATTCGAAGATACAACCGCTGGCTCGTGTTCTAAGCCAGGTTTTGGTGGCGGGAAGAGATATTTAGGGATTTAATAATTTTCTAACTTTGTAAAATTTAAGGTTCTTTGCCGGAATGTAATTTTTTTAATTGACTTGTCGGCAATTTAAAATGCTTTCGAGAAAAGGTCTTAAGCTCATGAAATTATTTACTCGTTATATAGGCGTATTAAACGTTAAGCTAAGTTTTGAGTGTTTCAAAGTGTTAGATAGAAAATAAATGCCAGGATAATTGTAAGTTTGAAGTGTTAACAAAAACTTAACATTTAAAGATTAATATTATTTTTAAAACCAGTTTAGTAATCCTCGGTGAATTCGTCCATCATAAAAACCTTCTTCGCGGAATGTCTGCCAAACTACTAAATTCCTGCTATCGAATTATGAATCGACAAGCTACTCGTGTAAACTTAGTGAATACACATTATATTCACATATGAGTGGATATAAACCAATCTTGATAGTCGGGTCCACCAGGGCCGGGCTTTGGTAGGGAGCATTCTTGCGAGTCTTCGGCTGGCCCAAGAACGTGGCAATTGCGGACCGGGCACGACTTTATTGTGGCTTAATAAATTAAAATAATTTTGATTGATTACTTTGGATTATCTTGTCATTTGGCAACATCAAATAGAATATTTAAGAATACAGGTAAACCGGTTCTCTTTTGTTTTGCGTGAATATTCGTCTATCGACGGCTGGGTCTCGGTGGTTTTCTTTTCCTATCCCTGGAGATTTCGGGCATTTCGCGCAGAAGAATTCGTGCTTGGCTCTAATCAAAGCCAAATCTGGGTATTAGGGTCCGTTCAATTAAAACGGTATTCCTGCATGGAATGTACTAGTGGGTCACCCCAGGTCCAGCTCCTGTAAGTGCCCCGAGATGTATTGCCGTCGATTCCGTAAGGCCTATTTTAAGATCCACTCTTTATTTGTTTACTTGTGCTCGGGTGGATGTTACTAAATATTTGGTAGTCGCTAATACGCATCGTCTGCTCATCCGTCTTGGGCTATCCGAGGCTTATTCTCGGCTCTTGCCGTCACTCAATACCGTCAATACTCTTGGCCCGATCGGGCCTGTTGGTATGGGTATGCGTGGCTTTTGAGTAATGCTTTTGACCCTTCGCCAGTCGGCAGTGGCCGTGGCTGTTCTTTATTTTGCTGTTATTTTTATTTATTTATTTATTTTGCGCTGGGTTTTTTCTCTATTATTAATTGTGCGATTGGAAACTCTTGGTTTTCAATCACATGAAATTCAGAATTTTACTCCATTGTTTGCCATTGCCAGACGTGAATATGCTGAAATTTCGGACTTACTCTGGTGGTCAATACTCCCATGGCGTAATTCAAGATAAAGATAAATAAATTATAAAGGTTCGAATGGTTTCTTGGTCTCTTCTAGAGACTATCTGGTTTTGGTTTTGGTTTTGGGAGACACAGGTACAGGTAGACAGTTGGAAGCTGTTGAGCAGGTCGAAATAGTTTCACCTCAAGTGTGTTCTGTTCCAAGCGACGGTCATACATAAAAGCCTGGCTCACGGCTCACATACGCACAATTTACACACACGCCGTGTATAAATGCGCACTTCACTCGGTATTCTAATGAAATGTTATCCACTTGCGAATGATCAATTGCCATTAAAAGAGTTTTGACTCCAAAATCAGGGTTCGCTTTTCTAGCTGGCCTATTACGGTTCGTGCTCCGGTGTTATTTCAGTCGATTCTCCCTCTGCCACCCCGATGCCTCTATGTTTGGATCCGTTTTCTTAAGTTGGATTTTTGCATCTTTCAGATGTTTTATTATTTGTATTCTTTTAGGTTTTCCGAAGGCTATTCATTTCGTTATACAAATATGCGTGCCATAAACTAATTGTCGGGTTATCTGAGATAGCGGTAGATTTACTTAAAAAATCAATTTACAAAAAAAATAGATTGATTCGAAAAATAAATTTTAAGATAAAATCTGTTAGTCATCAACATTTTGTGACAGAAACAAACAAGAACATTTTTCATAATAAAGAAACTGATGTTTGGTGTTTCTCGATATCAAAATAAAACATTTGAAAACATTTTATTATCAAACATTCGTGACTTTTAAGCTCGGATGGTCTTGATTCTTAAAGTTTTAAAAGGCGTTTCAAAGCAAATAACTTCTTGAGATACTGTCTTTACACACCTAAGAATAAACATTATATCAGAAACTGAATTATATTGCATTTAGACATATTATTTATTTATTAAGAATTGTAATTGTTTTATATCGTCATATAAAACTTAAACGGCTTCCGTATATAATGACAGAATTGTAAAAGTCATATATAACATATATGTATATTCATGTTGAGATGATTCTATTACTTTCATTATGGTTTAGTTAGGCAGCCGACTGCCAGGATATACACTATTTTTTAGTACAAACAAAATGCGCTTTCATCAAAAACGCTGCCAGAATAAAGATGGTTCTAGAAACCAATCAAACAAAAGCACATATTAACGAGGTAAAATGTCGAGACATATCAAAGTTTGATATCAAATTTTGTGACATAAATTTTGTTAGCACTTTACTAAATATAAAAACGTTCTAAAAATATCTCTTTCTTTAAAATAGTTCAATCTTTGCCTTCATTGCAATAAAAAAGCGTGTCGAATGAAACAAATGTATAAAAAGTATTTTTTAGTGTGAGCACTCTCCTACAGTTTTGATGCTAGAATAACAATTTTAACTGAAATGTATTGTTCTCGTCAATACCTATCGAGTGACCCAAAAAAATTTGCCACGCCCACTCTAACGCCCATAACGCTTAAATCTGTCTACCGCCGGTAGGAATATGCTGCTGGAATATCTCCATTTCCCTTTGGTTCCTTTAAATGAGTAACGGGTATCTGA